AATGGGGGTTACAGGTCACAAATATATTACATCCTCTTGCCATTAGAAAAAAAGTTACCAGGCCAGAATGGGTGAGACCAAGTATCTACAGAAACAGTCATAGTATCTTAGTAGATGTTTTACACATTTGTGTTCCACAGACTATCAGAATTCTGTGAAAATGGGGAGGGATTCCAGTCAAACATGTTTGGAAAATTGCTGGGTTAAATCAAGTTGAATAAGTTTATTCACGTCAGGACTTCTTAAAACTTTAATAACCCGTACCCACTGCTATTCATTTGATTCCTACTCACTGCTACCCTGTAGGACAGGGTAGAAATGAACTGCCTATAGAGTTTCCAAGGCTGTAATCTTTATGAAGCAGACTACCAAATCTTTTCTCCCACATAACAGTTGGTGGGTTTGAAACCTGTGACCTTCTGGTTAGCAGCTGAGTGCTTTCACCAATGTGTAACCAGAGCTCCTTTCAAGTACCCCAGTGTTCTCAAAAGAGGATATATGCACACCCTATGACTCAGCAGTGGACTTTTGTCAATGTCTGGAGACATCTTCAGGAGCTCTGGTGGCATAATGATTAAAGCTTGTGGCTGCCTGAACCAAAGGTTGGCAGTTCAAACCCACTAGCTACTCTGCAGGAGAAAGATAAGGCAGTCTGCTTTTGTAATGATTTACAGCCTTGGAAACCCTATGTGCAGTTCACTCTGTCCTACAGGGTCACTATGAGTTGGGATCGACTCAATGGCAGTGGATTTGGTTTGGTTTGGAGACGTTTTGATTGTTGACAACTAGGGAGGGGGATGTTACTGGGATCTAGCAGGCAGATGACTGGAATGCTGCTAAATATCCTACAATGTATAGGACAACACCCACCACAAAGAATTACCCACCCAAAAGTTAATGCTGTGGTTGAAAAACTCTGAAATACCCTACTAGGCTAAACTTATTTTAAATATAAAAGACTGAAGGTGGACCTAATTTAGCTTGGACAAGGAGGAGAAATTATTGGTGTAATACTAGACTCTGTCTCTCATAACTGAGGGAAGTGCTAAGATTCAGCAAGGAAGAAGATACTAGAAGACAAACAGGGCTCTGTCTCTTGTCTCTGCACTGTAAGGATCAGTATGAATCCAATTCCCAAAATGTGGAAATGGATCCAGTGCTCACATTCCCACTTTTCCATCCTTGTTCCCAGCCACTGCCACACCACTCTCTCTGATCCTAGCCACCAGGCACTGCTTCAGGCTCACAAGTTAAAAGGACACCATCGTTCCTTGAGACTGACAAACTGGCAGATGTGGCTGCAAGTTTGGGGTGTCCACACATTACCCCAATCTTCTAACCTGCTGGCCACAAATCCAGGCCTGCTTTTCCAATCTCCCTTCAGGATACCAAAATGCAAACTCAGGAGTCCACATGACCCTTAAACTCTCTGACCTTGTAGCTCCTACTCCCCTTTAAGTTTAATAATTTGCTGAACGACTCGCGGACTTCATGGAAAGTATACCATACTTGTAACTACAGATTTATTATAATGAAAGGTTTAACTGAAGTGCAGTATACATGAAGAAAAATACACATAAGTGTATAAAAAAAAAAAAAAAAAAACATTGCCATTGAGTGGGATCCAACTCATAGCTACCCCTCCTTGGGTTTCCAAGGCAGTTATCACTAGAAGTAGATTGCCCAACCTTCCTTCTGAGGAGTGGCTGAACATACCTGTGCAATCAGCACCTAGACCAACAAACATTACCGACACTACAGAAGCTCACTTCCCGCCTCCTTCCAGCCCTACCTGCAAAGAGTAACACTATCTTAACGTTTGATAGTATTGATCAGTTTTACATCTTTTAGTATTTTACATATATAAATGGAATTATACAATATGTAATCTTTTGAGTCTAGCTTTTTTTTTTTTTTCACTCAACAGTGTGAGATTCAGCCATAGTGTTGCTTTTAGTTACAGATTATTTTCATTGTAGTCCATTAGATATATACTAATATTTGTTTATCCATTAACTGTTGATGGACATCTTGGTATTTTCTGAGGCTATTATGAATAAGGCTTCAACGAACATTCTTGTATTTGTCTTTGGGTGAATATATGTACACATTTCTGTTGGAGCAGAACTGCTGAGTCACAGGGTGTTCATATATCCAGATTTAGTAGATATTGCCAAACAGTTTTCCAAAGTGGTACTATCTATTTATATTCCTAAATGAGAATTCTAGTTGCTCCATATCTTTACCCCAGAGGAAAATATACCTCGTATTTTCCTTCTTGTTCATTTTAGCCACTCTAGTGAGTATGAAGGTTCCTGGCTGGTACAGTGGTTTACAATTACCTGCTAAACTAAAGGTTGTTGGTTCAAATTCATCCAGTGGTTCTCTGGAAGACAGGCCTATGATCTGCTTCTGTAAAGATTACAGCCAATAAAACCCTATGGAGTAGTACTCAAACACTTGGGGTCACTGTGAATCAGAACTAACCTGATGACCATGAGTTTAGTTTGGTTTTTTGGCATTGAGTTGTTGTTGTTGTTATGTGTATTGAGTATGTAGTGGAATTCATTGAGATTTTTAAAATTTCCCTGATGATATTTCCTAGTTGAGCATCTTTTCATATTTACTGGTTAAATGAATATCTTTTCCTGTAAAATGTCAGGCTTTTGCCCATTTTTCTATTGGATTGTCTTGCAAATAGGGATACTGCCAAAACAAAACATAAAATGCTATGATCATTTAAAGCTCATCTACAAAAGTGAAACATTCAGTTTAATCTGGGTTTTAAAAAAACTAAGTCTTTAGAATGATTTTATAAAATAATAAATCTATACAAATGTAATAAATAAAAGAACCATAACTGAAGCTGTTAAAATGGCTTTATAGATCAAGACAGTAATTTTGTAATGAGTGAAAAACAATTAGAAGAACATTATTGTGTTAGACTGGGAATGTGTCAGACTGGGTTCTCTAGAGAAACAAAAACCAGCAAAGCTTATATATATATAAAAAGAGAGAGAAATTTATCTTAGGAAAATGGCTCACAAACGTATAGAAGCCGGCAAGTCCAAAGTCCCTAGAGCAAACATCAAGCTGGAGGCTTTTCTTAGCTTCTGCAACCACAGGGGGGCTGAGAAACTCAAGGTTGGCAGGCAGTACACCGGCTGTTGACTCCAATGAATGACGAATCCAAAATCTCCAGGCCGAACGATGGACTGCTCATTCACAGACAGTTAGTTGTAGGCAGCATACCAGAATCCTGATCCACAGAAGAATGTCTCTCTTCCCAGGATGTCCCAGGATATCCTGGAAGCAGGCCACACCCCTAGGGAAACTCCCCTCGACAGATTGGCCACTCAGAACACAGTCATCCGATCCCATCATGGGAACAACCACACAGAACTGGGGTCCAGCCAAGTTGACACACAGCTCCAACTATCACAATTATTTTTATATATTGCAAAATATCTTGCCTTGTTCTTAAAGTCACTAATGTAATACCAACTTATGTAATGATACACTTAAATAACAATCTTTAGATTAAGAGAAATTAAATAAATACAGGCAAATTACTAAGTGACCAATAAAAAAGGCTCTTGTTCCTCCCCTGCTACTTGGAAGCTTACTGCCACGGGAGTTCTTATTACAAAATCTGGAGCTTGATGCAAATTTCTTCAGAAGTAGAAAGGAGAAAGAAAGAAACTATAAAAAGTTAGAACAGCTTAAGTGGAGCTGATTCAGGGGTCTACCTTGCTTACATGGTAACACTTTTGTCCAAAAATATTTCCTTCTTTATAGTGTACTTTTACTTAAGTTTATTACACCTTATATAATTTAATCAGAAATTAATTTAATTTAATTAGCATCTTCTTTCAAGTATAAGATTATCTGTGATTCATAAATTGTTACTTGCCACTCCCTTTTCACTATTTACCCTTTTGTATAATGTGAGGTTTTTACAATGTACACAAATTGTTTAATTAAAAGAAATAATCAAGTTAAAAAAGAATTTCATCCTAATACCTCTTATGATCAGTTTCATTGAGGAAGTGAGAGCTGTGATTAGGCAGGGTAAGGAAGGAGCCATAATGTATAACAAAAAAAAAACATATGTGGGGTAGTAAAGAGTGGAACAGATAACATGAAAACATTTGAAGCTGGGGGTACAGATCCTCAGAGCATATAAAGAGGTACGACGATTGCTTTAAAAAAAAAAAAAAAAAAACCCAAACCATTGCCATCAAGTTGGATCTGACGTATAACGACCCCTCCTTGGGTTTCCAAGGTGGTATCACTACGGACATAGATTACCCAACCTTCCTTCCGAGGAGTGGCTGTTGGGTTTGAACCATCAGCCTTCTGGTTAGCAGCCAAATGTACCTAACAACAACAACAAGGTTCAAAGATATGGAAACTGTATAGCAATCGTCTATAGGAGATGACAAATTGACTTGAGAAACTTCCTTATATCCTGATTGTACTCTAAGTGGCACTCAGTTTCCATATCTTTGAACCTAGTTGTTGTTATTAGGTGCTGCTGAGTCTGCTCTGACTCATAGTGACCCTTTGTACAACAGAACAAAACACTGCCCAGTCCTGCTCTAGCTAATTTAATACTATAGATTGGCTACATTATGAAAAAGACTTGTGGCTTAGGGTTATAACCAAAATTGTAACATTAGGTACAGAAAAATGCATTGGAAGTTCTACACAGTGATTTACAAAACATTTAATAACATAACCCATGTTGGGGAATGTTATATTGGGGTCACCATGAGTAAGAGCTGACTCCATGGCAACTAACAACAGCATATTACCTTTCTATAAGCACGGCAAAACACATCACAAAACAAGGTATTTTACTTCTTTAAGAAAGTTCAAAACTCATGTGATATTGTTATTTTCTATTAAGAAATGATTTCTCTTATGTTATCATGATTATAAATATGAAAGTTTTCTTGAAAGACACACATGTATTATTTCAAAATGAACAGACTTACTCATCACTGTCGTTTGTCGTAGATTCCTTTCTTTCAGTTAATCTGGAATTGAGGTAATTTGATTTTCCCCTCTTTCCTATACATGGTATAATAAAGAGAAGAATTTCAAGTTAATAAGAAAGTTCCAAATTTTGAATAGAACTCAGATTGCCAAATTTTAAATAGAAAATAAATGGGACAAATGAAAGGAAGGTACGAAAAGAAAAAGTGTCCTAAAATTTCAAACAGGAAAAATTTTTTCACTACTTCAACGAAATTATCAATAGCTATTTTTTTTTCCTCTCCCGTTCTCTGGTGGTGCAGTAGATAAGGCACTTGACTGCTAACCAGAAGGTCAGTCGTGGTTCAAACCCACCAGCTGCTCTGTGGAAGGAAGACAGGGCAATCTGCTTCCATAAAGACTTATCACCTCAAAAACCCAATGGGGTCACTATGAATTGGAAATGACTCGATGGCAGTTGAGTTTGTTTTTGGTATGACATTATATAGAAGAACATTCATTTGAATAAAATTATTATTGGAACTTGCAATATTGAGAAAATTAGAGAAACCAATTTAATATAATTAGTTGAAAATGCACTAACTAGATAAAAATATTTTAAGGAAAGATTATCATATTAAAGCTTTCAGTTTTCATTATTTTATCCTATTTTTTCCCTCAAGTTAGTAACAAGGGTTAGGTGATACAAATACTTAGAAAATGGTGAGTTTCTAGTGATGCACAGTAAATTAAAGTTGATTTTAAGGTAAAAGAATCTGACTCTTAATTCCTATGTAGTAAGTAGCTCCGTGGGGAGATCTTCTGTGTCTACCAAAATATATAATTTATTAATACATTTACTGTAGGTAATAATATAAGGACTGATTGGTCAAATTATTTTTAAAATAGTGTTTCAGGCCACAGATTTATGTAAACTTTCACAAGTCCACAGTGATAAATGTTAAGACATGATGTTATAACTAAACCATAAACCCTCAAATTTCTGCAAGGTTGAAATATAACTTAAATTTTATAGCTTTAGTAGCATATGATGCTTTTACTTATTAGTGCTGAAACAGATGATTGTTTTATGATCTAACTAGTTGGTTGTGCTATAGTACTACATATATTATATACTTTAAACATATTTGATATTTAATAATCATGATGTTATAGATGGAATTGTGTCCCCCCAAAATATGTGCTGTAAATCCTAACCCATATACCTGTGGTTATCATCTCATTTGGGAATGGGCGTTGTTATTTATGCTCATAAGAAAGTATGGTATGGGGGGGTCAATCTCTTTGGAAATATAAATAGACCAGATTAAGCAAGAAAACTCAAGATGGGGAAGACAGAAGCTAAGCCACAGGGAGATCTCCATGGAACCAAGAAACAGAAGCTGAAGGAACAAGGACCTTCTCCCACAGCCAACAGAAAGAGAAGAACTTCCCATAGAGCTAGCACACTGAATTTAGACTCTAGCCTCCTAAACTGTGGGAAAATAAATTTCTGTTTGCTAAAGCCATGCATTTGCCGTATTTCTGTTTTAGCAGTGCTAGGCAACTAAGACACAAGTGGTTGAAGATGTATTAGTACAGATAAAAATTCTCAGTGGCCCACATACTGACCCTTATTGAAGAACTTGCAGGTGGGGGGCGGGAATCATGAAACACCGAAACACTAGCTCAGCACTCTCCAATAGAAATAATATGTATTTGTAGATTTCCCATGTATTTTCCACATTCATTTGTGTGGATCATGACAAATTATGGATAACACTGAGAAGAATAGGAATTCCAGAACACTTAATTGTGCTCATGAGGAACCTGTACACAGACCAGGAGACTGTCGCTTGAACAGAACAAGGGGATACTGCACGGTTTAAATCAGGAAGGGAGTGCATCAGGGTTGTATCCTTTCACCATACTGATTAAATCAGTATGCTGAGCTGATAATCTGAGAAGCCAGCTATATGAAGAAGAATGCGGCATCAGGATTGGAGGAAGACTCACTAACAACTTCTGAAACGCAGATGACACAACCTTGCTGTGTTAGACTGGGTTCTCTAGAGAAACAAAACCAGCAAAGCTTATATATAGAGAGAAAGAGAAATTTATCTTAGGAAAATGGCTCACACATTTATAGAAGCTGGCAAGTCCAAAGTTCTTGGATAAAACGTCAAGCTGGAGGCTTTTCCCGACTCATGCACCTGCAGGGGCTGACAAACTCAAGGTTGGCAGGCAGTATACTGGCTATTGACTCCAATGAATGATGAATCCAAGATTACCAGGCCATATGGTGGATTGTTCACTCACGGACCTTTGCAGGCAGTACAACGGGATCCCGATCCACAGAAGAGTGTCTCTTTTCCTAGGATGTCCATAAATATACTGGAAGCAGGCCACATCTCTAGGGAAACTCCCTTTCAATGGATTGGCTGCTCAAAACAGATACATCTGATCCCATCATTGGAACAACCCACATCAAAACTGCTTAAACCACACAGAATTGTTGTCCAGCCAAGTTGACACACATATCCAACTATCACAGTCAACCCCTTCTCAACTTGGCAGTTGTACACATCTTCTTAACCATACATAATCTCTAAATAAGGACAATATTTTTGTTTCCTTCTGTTATCTTTATAATTATAAAGTCGTATTTGCGCCTAACAGGATACACTAACACACATACAACCAAAATGCATTAACCTTATTTACATTTCACAGTTCATAACAGAAGGAAACAAAAATATTTGATGCACATGTACAATGAAGAAACATAACAATCACAGTCCTTGTTTTTGCAACTAGTCATGTGGTTGTAGCTGATATTCAGAACTACCTTCTTCCACCACCCATTCTGTATTTCCCTTGCCCTCAGCAAGCACCTCAGCTGGTTGTGGTTATTTGCCTGATGGGGTGACCCAAACCTTCATTCCTGAAGGGTCTGGGCCATTAGCAGTCATATCACAATTGGGTTGCTGTAATTTTCCATTGACTTTAATCACAGGGCATGGTAGTACTAAGAGATATCCTAAAGAATCTCCTATATTCCAGACATATTCTTCTTTACCTCCATTATGTAATGTCAATCCAATTTCCCCTTGGTAATCAGGATCTATTACACCAGACAGTACAGTAATGCCCTTCCTTGTCTTCTGATCCAGAGGCATGAGGAAGCCAAAATGACCAGGTGGCATTCTTAATTTCCAGTTCAATGCAATCAGTATTGTATCTCCAGGTGGGAGTGTTCCTCGCTTTGTGACTAAGATCTCCAGACCCAGAGAGCATAGGGTAGCAGGGACAAGAAGCAAAAATTTTTGAGTGGTACCACTCCCGTTTCCACCCTTTGGTTCCTGGACCCATGAATCCTGCCTGTTGGAGAAACAGAACCATATGTTGGGCTGGTTTAGAGCATATACAGCCGCCTGGAGAACACTGCCCCAAACCTTCAAGGTATTGCCACCTAGCTGGGACTGTAACTGTGTTTTCAGTAAGTAGGCCATTCCATTGTTCTATCAAGTCAGCTGCTTCAGGATGATGGGGGACATGGTAAGACCAGTGAATTCCATGAGCATACGCCCACTGTCACACTTCATTTGCTAGGAAGTGAGTCCCTTGATCTGAAACAATGCTGTGTGGGATACCATGATGCTGGATAAGGTATTCTGTAAGTCCACGGACGGTAGTTTTTGCAGAAGCACTGTTTGCAGGGAAGGCAAATCCATATCAAGAATAAGTATCTATTCCAGTAATAACAAAATGCTGTCCTTTCCATGATGAGAGTGGGCCAATGTAATCAACCTGCCACCAGGTTTCTGGCTGATCACCCCGAGGAATGTTTCCATATTGCATACTCAGTGCTGGTCTCTGCTGCTGGCAGACTGGGCACTCAGCAGTGG